CTCCCCTCCACCCCGTCCCCAGCCCAGAACTAGGACCCCAATCCTGAAGTGCCTCAGGGAGATGGAGGAACGGGCAGAGAGGCTGCTGATGTGGCCAGAGTAAACTAAAATCCAAACTCCCTCTACCCTCAGCCCTAACTCCATGCTTGTGCCACCCTTCCGAAGGCTCCCTCGCAGCTGCGACCCCGGGAACAAGCCAGCTTTGCTCTCCCCATTAGTTTTGCATTGACAATGAGTGCAGAAAGTTCAAGGCGAGTCGTTGGGCTTTTATCTTTGAATCACACATACAAAGCATCAATAATTTTACAATATTAAAAGCAGCCGTTAAACAAAGGCCTCTGAGGCCACCCTCAAACCAGCACGATTCCTCACACGCTCCAGACACAAGCGGGACAGTTGATTGCTGCTGCTTGGCACAGTCCCTATCAACACAGATGTTCAGGCTGGGTCACCCCAAAGCCACGGCAGCTCTAGGGCTCAATTCTGGCTCGCCTCGCACCACTTCGACCTCGTGGGCAGCGCTCTCAGTGGCTCAGGGACTTCCTGCCCTTCAGCATACGCCGGAGGATAACCTCAATGCCACCCGGCGTGCTGATGCGCTTGATCCAGCCATGGGTCCGTTTGCGCTTGCGGTTGTTCGGCTGATACTCATTCCCACGTGCTTTTGTGCGGATCTGCTGGTGGTTCCAGGCAGACACCGGGCCGGGGCAGATGCCTGCACGTTTGAGGGAGAGATGGCTTCTGAGAGGCAGCTCCAGGGAACTTGAGAGGACTGTGGCTGTTCGCAGCTGGGAAGGGAAGGCTGCAGCTTGCTGCAGTAGAAAAAATCTTTGGGAAAAGTTAAAAATAACAAACAGAGAATGAGAAGAGAGAGCCTGGCGCTGCCGCTAAAAGGACAATAAAGGGCTTCTTCACAGCCATGAGGGACAGGGTTGACCCTGTCGTGTCACGTCCCTCCCCCAGCCCGGGACCTGCTCGCCCGCCCCGTCTCCCTCGGGGGGAACACCACACCTCGCCCGCCCTCAGCCCCCTCCCCAGGCAGGCAGCAGCAGCCGCCGTTTCCTGCCGCCCGCAGCGC